TACATTGTGACCGAAAAGCTTTCGGAAATTCTCATTTAAAATTCGCGCGCTGTATATTTTCCGATATTTTAAGTTTATGTAGTTTGGCAGCACTGTCCTTAATTACTATGCCAAAAATGAGCGCGATCTGTCAGACAGTTCGTTTACGGCAGCTGTTGAAACCAGTTCACCTCAGTAGGGCGTTGCGAAAAAAACAATGGAAAAAAATATTGAACAAAGAGTTTGCATCAAATTTTGTGTTTCGAACGAAATTTCGTGTGCAGAATCGTTGCGAATGCTACAAAAGGCTTATGGGGAATCAGTTTTATCGAAAACTCAAGTTTATGAGTGGTACAAAGCCTTCCAGGACGGTCGTACGACCGTCGAAGACATTTCGCAACGCACTACTGAGGTGAACTGGTTTCAACAGCTGCCGTAAACGAACTGTCTGACAGATCGAGCTCATTTTTGGCATAGTAATTAAGGACAGTGCTGCCAAACTACATAAACTTAAAATATCGAAAAATATACAGCGCGCGAATTTTAAATGAGAATTTCCGAAAACTTTTCAGTCTTAATGTATAGTAAGTTATAAAAAAGAAATATGCATAACAGATGTTTCTACAAAAAGATTAGCTTTGAAACGAAAAATAGACAAGCTCAAAGATTAACTTTCAATTCGTTGAACTTGTGTTTTCAAATAAAGCTGTAGTTTATAAGCTCGTTCTAATTTAAAGCACGGCAAGTGCTTTGGTTGGTGTCACTAATTAAATAAGAAATAAGAATCGGTCTAACTTTTAAATGATCCACTTAATTTTACATGCAAAACGAAAACAGTCGGGGGAACCTGCAAGTGATCTGGTTCAGATTCTGGTTCATTCATTTTTTATATTTAAAATTTTTTCAAACACAGGTGACATCATTAATGCGTTGCCAATTACTTTCACATGTGATCCAGAGCATTGCTTGCTGAAACATTGCTAGTGTTCGACAGTAGACGAAACATGGATCCACAACTTCTCTTCGGTGTCAAAACGACAGTCAGTTGTGTGGGCAAAAATCAATAAAAAGTATTCAAATCTTCCAAAGACGCGATATTTGGCTGTTAACATTGGAGCATTCGCATTTTGGGATGGAAATAATATAATAGTTATCGAATAGCTTGAAAAGACAAAACCATTGTTTAGAGTAGTAGTAGTTAAATTCAATTAATTACATTTTAACTTTGTTTTACACTGCAACACTATTTGAAAAAGTGACTTGCATTTCATTTTTGCTTTTCGAAATAAAGGCCGTGTGCGAGTTCGACTAAATTGAGGTAAAGTAAATTGAAATTTTCTAAGATTTCTTGCACTACTGTTATATAAATATTTATTTATTTATTTACTTATTGCACTTATTTATTATTTTTCTGTTAAAACTTTTCAAATTTTTATTACTTATTTATTACACATCTTATACGATTTTTACAATGGTAACACCTAATTTACTTAATTTTTATCCCATTTACCCTTCTTGAAGTTTTGGTGAATACAAACATTCGCTACCATACCGACATAATTTACTATTTCCCTCAATTTACCATCAATTTACTCGAACTCGCACACGGCCTAAATCCTTGTTCTTGCCTTTTTTTGCTTTGCATTAATATTTTATAATTTCTCTTATCGGTTGATCATAAAAAAAACGTGTCCGCGAAGGCGGTGATTACAAGCTGTTTGTAGACATCGAGGAAAAATCTAAAGGGGGAAAATATATTCATTTAACTATAAAGTCTTCGTCGAAAGAAATTCTTGTTTGAAACCAAACATAATCTTTCTGCAAGATAGACATTGAAACGTTACACAATCTCTGAAATAGTTTTATTCCTTTTGATTTAAACTACCATATATTGGTGAATAAAATCAAATTATAGCAGAAAAAGTGTGGTTTTATATTTTAGTTTCAGAACTTTTCTATCAATTTGTTATAAAACGTTCTAGAAACTCACAGCATATATTTCTTAAAATTAGAACGCTCAGCTGTTTGAGATTATCTGGGTTTTTAAACAGTTTGTTGATTCAAAATCATCATTAATCCAGAACTATTGTAGACATTTGTCTGAATTTTTTTATCGGATTCATTAAAAAAAATGTTGCCTGACCTGTATTCCATGACGTATATCACGTTTGCTGGTATATCTCATCCTTGGTAAGATCGTTTACATCTGCTATTCATAGACACGACTGCAGATCTACTCTCATGCAATTCGACAGAAATACAATATTGCCTACAATGCAATAATAATTCATTCAAGGCCAAGATATTGAAAAATATTCTAAGTAATATTATAGATTTAAGCTTTTTTCCTTACCAGAAAACAGATCTTTAGATCTCTGGTAGGTTTTCAAATTGTTTATTATAACAATTGCAGGTCTTTAGTATTAAATGCAAAACAAAAATCATGTGATCTCTGTGGCTATTTTGTTTTTATTAAATCTGGTTTTTTGGATATTATACAAAAGTTCTTACAAAAAATTTATTTATCTAGACTACATGTTCAAAGAGCAACACTCCTTAATGAAAGGCAACAAAAGTCATCCGAGCTGAGCTTAAATCCACATGGCCCTAAAAAACTGAAGTTAAAACTCGAGACATTTGTTTATTTCATTTTTCGTATTATATCCCCATAGCTCCAGACATAAACAGGAGGTCCGGCGGTATGGTAGATCAATGGACGTAGCTTATTTTCATGTACAACTTTAGGTGGACGATTCCTCATTTTCGCTTCACGCAATTTCTTTTTGAATTCCTTGATGAAAACATCAGCCTCCGTTGCATCCTTAGATATATATTTAAATTTTATTGTACTTGCAGTTGAAGAAGCATACTGAGAAGCACGCTTTTTCTTTCGCTTCTTCACTACAGGACTGCGTTTCTTCTGTTTCTGAGGTAACCGTAAAATATGCTTGGACGCGATTATTTTCGTGTTACTATGACATGCCCACATTGGTATTGCGGGTCTGTCATTGTAACGAAAATTACCGCGCTCATTGTGTGCAAGTTTTGCGGGTTGTTTACGTACTGGTGGAGCCTGTGAAGCATATGCTGGAACTGCTTTGTAAACCTGGTTTGGGAAAATAACTGGGCGCTTGTAAGTTTTGCTTCTTGGTGGATAAATTGCCGGAGGGCACGACAGCAGCTTACGATGTTTGGTGACTTGCATAAGTATACTGTTCGTTTTAGTGACGTACATATTATTAAAGGCACCACAGTTTTCGCAGTTACCAGCCATAAGTTTCGATAGCTTACATCTCTTAAGTACTTCATTTCCAGCCCGTTTAACACGTCTATCACTCCTAATGTTGTTATGATAGTTTATCGCACTGCCGCCCGCAGAATTAGGTGTATTGACTCTTGAGCTGGTGTGAGTTGATGTAGTCCCTGCGCTGGAATCAGACAATGACAACTTCTTTTGGTTTTGCAATTTTGTGATATTTACTGCCTTTGTTTTAGTATAATCTTCATGAGTTCCTGTATATTTTTGAAAAAAAAAACTTCATAAAATTTTCAATACGATTTTTTTTACTTACCCAAGTTGCCATAATATCTGGTGTCAACAATGGCTGGATTTTTGGTTTTCTTTACACACAATTGCTTACGATCTGGAATACGATATGCATCAGCCAAGCATTTAAGCACCGTTACCTGATTTTGAACCATAGGCTTTTTTGGTTTCATCTTGAAAACTTTACTATTCACTTTTAATTTGGACAAATATTAGGTAATAACACTATACAATTTATACTACTGAATTAAAAGAAAAACATTTTTATGCTAAACAACTTTATAATCACATTTCGAAAATTTGTTATTTTTGTTAGTTTAAAAGTCAAATATTTACTTTTTTCATGGCAAATGCGATGCAAAAACTTTTAATCGAAAAAAATTATTCTATAATTGATACCAAAGAATAACGATGGAATAGCAGAACTCTATAACAAAACATAAAACATTGTCAAATAATAATATCGTTCGGTAGAGAGGTTTCGAACAGTAGTGAATTGCAACAACACATTTTTTGCAGTCTGCAATAAAACAATTTTTGTTCATTCTTTGATACTCACAGTCTCAAAAAATCATTTCCGAATAATCATTTCCGAAATATAACAAATAATTTCAATACCACTGAAGATGGATATTTGGTCAACCAAAATAAATTAATTAAAAATAAACTAAAATTTTGTTGTTAAAATTCACTACTGTTCGAAACCTTTTTATCAAATACAATAGTTTCTATTTCTGACGTTAAACTCAAATATAGTAGTATCTGTTAAAATCAAAAAATTATTTAAAAATCTTTAAATATTCATTTTTTGTCGAATGTGACATATCAAAAAACAACTATTTATAAGTTAGAAGGGTTCGAACAGTAATGAAGAAACAACAACAAAAATTTTAATTAACTTATTGATTAATGTTGTATGGTCAGCCGATTATTAAATTTTTAATAGTGTTTCTTTATTAATGTTCGAACCCTTCTAATTTATATAAAAATTGTAAACTATTAGAAAAATGCGACTTCCATTTCGATAAATGAATCATGCATCGATGCATCGAATTAAGAAAATTATCTCCCAAAAGAACAATAAAAAATTACTATCCATATTCATTCCAACAGTATCAACAGGTTTTCCACATTCCTCAAATTTGTTTGCTAATTACGTTTAAACAAAGGTCACAGTGCCACACACACACTCACTCACACACACTCAAAACACACTTTAATAAAAGCACAACAATTTAAATTGCATACATTAGGGCTGATAGCAATGCATTCGGAACATATCAGCACAGAGCACTGAAGCCTGTCAACGCACATCCGAGCCATCGGCATATACAACCAGCGCAAAGTGCACAGTGCAATGTATTTTACTGCGTTGGCATCACTTTTCATTTCTGCACTCAACTCATCCTACTGGCAGACATCCTGTGCATTCTGACTTTTATGCAACGTGTCAAATGTCCTGAATTGTTAATGTCTCCGTTTAGCATTTAATTTAGTTGTGTCCGTTTAAGGGTAAATTATTATTTTTCATTTTATGTGAAGAAAAATTATACGTTGACGTAAACAGAGCGATGCATCAGGCATTCTGAACATTCACT